GATGAAATAAAGATAGACACATATGAAGAACAGCTAAGATAACTCATAGCCAGCGTACCTATTCTCACTGAATGACTTACAGGGAGATCTTCTGACAGACGGGAAAGAAGACAGAAAAAAGACTGACAGAAAGAAGTCTGGAACATGAGGAACTAAGAAAAAGCAACAGAAATGGTAACTATCTGGTCACTATTCAAGACTATTCTCCTCTTGAGTATTTCTCCTCTGAAATATATTGGATGACTGAAAATAAAAGATAGTAATAAAAATAGCTCTGCTTCATAAAAACAGAACTACCACACGATCCAGCAATTTCACCTCTGGGTATTTATCTGAAAAAAAAAAAAAAAATGAAAACACTAGTTCAAAATGATACATGCATCCCAAGGTTCAATGTAGCATTATTTACAAAGCTAAGATATGGAAGCAACCTAGATGTCCACTGACAGATGAATCAATAAAGAAAATGTGTACATGAGTGTGCGTATATGCACACACACACACAAGCAACCTAGGTGTCCACTGACAGATGAATGAATAAAAAAAGGTGCACGCATGCTCGTGTGCACACACACAAGCAACCTAAGTGTCCACTGACAGATGAATAAAGATGTGTGCGTGTGCACACACATGCACACGAATATTACTCAGCCATAAAAAAGCAATGAAATCTTGCCATATGCAAGAACATGGAAGAACCTAGAGGGTATTATTCTAAGTGAAATAAGTCAGATGGAGAAAGACAAATACTGCATGTTTTCACTTATATGTGGGATCTAAAAATTTGCTTAAACCAGAAACAGACTCCACTGATACAGAGAAAAAAACTAGTGGATGACAGAGGGGAGGAGGATGGAGGAAAAGGCAAAACAGGTGAAGGGATACAAAGAGGTACAAACGACCAGTTACATAATAAATAAGTCACAGGGATGTAATGCATGGCATAGGAAATATAACCAAAGATATTATAATAACTGTATGGTGCATAATCTATGATAATATCAAGTCACTATGTTGTACACCTGAAACTGAAATAATATGGTAAGTCAACTATATGTCAAAAAAAAAAGTAATGTTATCTGAAGGGGTTTTCAGTGTATGGAGATATAATACCTAAGACAACTGTAACATAAGGATTAAAGAAATCTATATGATGAAAAATATCTACATTCTACTTAAAAGTGGTGAAATGCTGATTCTAAGCAAATTGTGAAAGCAGAATGAATAGGGTAAGCTCTAGAGGAAATACTAAAAGGCTGCAAAAAGGGAAATAGTTAAAAACATAATAGATAGAATAAATAAATCCAAAAGACTATGGGAAAGGAGAAACAGAAACAAACAAACAAAAGAAGAGAATTAAGACAAAGTGGCAGCCCTAAAATCCAAACATTATCAAAAAATACAGACTGTCAGAATGGATCAAAAACATGACCCACATATCTGATATCTACAGGAAACATATTTCAAATACAGGTAGGTTAAAATTTAAAGAGATGGTAGCACTTTCAGAAGGGACCTCTTAAAATCTGCTCCTCCATAAAAGTAGCAATATTGTTGAGAACCCTGACAACAGTCATCAGAATCAACTTTTTCAGAACTCTAGAAATGTTCCCTGGATGGCTTGACAAAAAGTGGTTGAATTTTGGTAAGAACAGCAAGCTTTGTGGTTGTTTTAACTTGTCCTGTTTCCTACTCCTCCTCCCCAGATTCAAAGAAGCCGCTCAATCAACAGCCTCCTAATTGCAGTAGCTGTGAAAAGCCAGGAGGAGCCCCTGGTGGGAGTTCCTCCGAAGTCCCATACTCAGAGCACTGTCCCTATTTGACCTGCCTGGCAGCTCCCTGGAAACTTCCACTCCCAAGGCTTGTCTTTATTCAACCTGACTCAGTGAGAACAGACTTTCCCCAAGGTATCTGTCAGAAACCATCAGTGGCAACTGTTTAACATCATAGCTGCCTGAGGCAGTGGTAACAGTTGAAACAAACAAGAAACTGACCGAAAGTATAAGAGGACAAGCTGGTAATCTAGAAGGCTATATGCATGTGCACCGCTGTGCACAGTCTAAGACAGACAAGCCATGGCCCTACTCTCACCTCTGGCTAAGCTTGAGGCTCCGTGCACGGAGGTGACGGCTAAGGCAAAGCTGTTAACTGCTTGCCAGAATGCTGAAGACATGCTCCACCACACACAGAAAAGGCCCTTGGCAAGTATCAGGAGACTTACTGGTTCAAAGCATTTCAGGAAATCTCTAATCTTCAGCTGACCACTAAGCTAACCAAGCAAAGACTTCAGCTGCCACACACAACAAAGAATATAAGCTTCAGAGAGTTAGCTCAGGGAACTCACTGAACACATAAATAGCAGTAAACACAACAAGCAGCAAAAACAAGCCCCAGGGAAGGAAGGTCAGATTACCAGAGCCAAGGAGATTCTATTTCTCAATATATTGGGATCCAAGCCATAGTACCTTCTTCAACAAAACATGAGACTGGCACCTGTGCCCAACCCTCCTGGCCCTGGAGCAAGTACACCCACATTCCTGTGTGTAAGGGCTGGGGGAAGGACAGGGGACATGATGAGGCGGCTTACTTGAGGGAAGAGGTCCGAGCCATCACGTTTTGGCACTCTAAAATAATTTCTTCTCAGAAATGGTGGGCAACAGCCTAAAATCATGTCCTATATAGTGTCACATGGTGGTGATTTAGTTACCAACTTGTGTCTGACTCTGTGACCCCATGGACTATACCCCACCAGGCTACTCTGTCCATGGGATTTTTCAGGCAAGAATATTGGAGTGGGTTGCCATTTTCTTCTCCAGGGGATTTTCCCCACCCAGGGATTGAACCTGGGTGTCCTGCATTGCAGGCAGATTCTTCATGAACTGAGCCACCAGGGAAGCCCATTACAGTACATTTACAACTCATAAGAAAACAGGTCATAGAAGGGGCTGATGATGTTTCAGTATGCCAACACAGGTCTGATTTTATCTTAAGAACAAAAATCACAACTGTCCAATCAGGAAACATGTCTAGTCAATTATGGTATAGCCACCAATTCAGTAATGTGGTGATCAGTTGTCATTTTCTGGGTCTCTTAGCCTCCTTGATCCTTCCCATCTGGGACCTCTCTCTGATTCTCAGCCCAGGGGCTCCCAAAGGAGTGACTGGCATCACTGGCCTTGTGATGGGTTCAGAAGCAGGCAGGGCTATGGAATGCTGACATATTCAGTTCAGTCGCTCAGTCATGTCCGACTCTTTGCGACCCCATGAATTACAGCACGCCAGGCCTCCCTGTCCATCACCAACTCCCGGAGTTTACTCATGTCCATCGAGTCGGTGATGCCATCCAGCCATCTCATCCTCTGTCGTCCCCTTCTCCTCTTGCCCCCAACCCCTCCCAGCATCAGGGTCTTTTCCAATGAGTCAACTCTTCGCAGGAGGTGGCCAAAGTATTGGCGTTTCAGCTTCAGCATCAGTCCTTCCAAGGAACACCCAGGACTGATCTCCTTTAGGATGGACTGGTTGGATCTCCTTGCAGTCCAAGGGACTCTCAAGAGTCTTCTCCAACACCACAGTTCAAAAGCATCAATTCTTCGGCGCTCAGCTTTCTTCACAGTCCAACTCTCACATCCATAAATGACTACTGGAAAAACCAGAGCCTTGACTAGATGGACCTTTGTTGGCAAAGTAATGTCTCTGCTTTTTAATATGCTATCTAGGTTGGTCATAACTTTCCTTCCAAGGAGTAAGCATCTTTTAATTTCAAGGCTGCAATCACCATCTGCAGTGATTTTGGGGCCCCAAAAATAAAGCCTGATACTGTTTACACTGTTACCCCATCTATTTGCCATGAAGTGATGGGACCAGATGCCATGATCTTAGTTTTCTGAATGTTGAGCTTTAAGCCAACTTTTCCACTCCCCTCTTTCACATTCATCAAGAGGCTTTTTAGTTCCTCTTCACTTCCTGCCATAAGAGTGGTGTCATCTGCATATCTGAGGTTATTGATATTTCTCCCGGCAATCTTGATTCCAGCTTGTGCTTCTTCTAGCCCAATGTGCTGACACATTACTCGCCCCCTATTACTCCTTGTAACAAAACCTCAATTCTGTCTAGAGTAGCAATGTACCATCCATCCAGTGATGGTGATGATAGGTTACAGACAGTTAAGACAGTTCTGTTTTTTATTCATCTAGCCTGATGACATTAAGTGACCTGGTACTGACCAATGAGATGTAAAGTAATACCTGATGGGCACTTCTGGGGGATCGTATGCTCTCCAGTTAAAAAAACAAAACCAGACAAGTGCCACTTCTTTTCCCTCTTCTTTCTGCTTTAAACCTAAGTATGATGCCAGAACTGCAGCAGCCACCTCATGCCCCCAAGATCAAGGTCAAAAGAACTGCAGGGATGCTGAGCTTGATAGTACTGACCTGCTCAACCACACTACCACCAGATTTCTTGCTACATGAGAAAAAATAACTCTTTGCTTAACTACCACTAGTTGAGTTTTCTATTTCTTGTAGCCAAAAGTATTCTTAACTGACTTGCCAAATGACTCAATAAGAGCCAAAGAGACACAAAAACGCTTTTGCTGGAGACACTCCCTCAGTCTTTCCTACTGGACAAGAATGAGCCAGGGTGCAGCCTGGAGCAGTCGCAAGGACCTTGGAACCATCAGGAGGAAATGAGTCCCCCTGAGGACAGGGAGCCAGAGGAGAGAGAGAGACAGTAAATGCCAATAATAGCCATGCTCCTTTACAAGGCAGGCTTGAAAGGAGGTCTGTCCTGGACTAAACACGAGCCAGTATCTTTTCTTTTTTGCTTAAACCAGCTTGCCTTTCTGACACTTGAAAATTAAATGAGTCAAAACTAACAGAAACAAGCCCTCATTTCTTCAGAGGCCAGCCAACCAGCTCCAGACTCTAAACCTCATTCTTGACAGGTCAACCACTGTGATCAACACTGAGAAAGGTCAGAAAAGGAAAGTGGGCATCACTCACCTTCATTTTGCTTCTTCTGTTCAAGTTTCATCTTCTTTGCCAGTAATTTCTTCTCTTTTAACTTCTGGCTACAAATGTAAAGCAAATACATTAATTCTTTAACTACCCATTTTGTATCTTAGAAAATAAACATTTATAGAACCTTCAGCGATTTAGACACTACACAAATGCTACAATAAAACAAAAGAAGTACTTCCTCATGACTCTGCTACTCCAACATCATCAACATCATCAACCTGTGCCCTTCATGAATCAAGATCAAATTCTTTGGAGTCCTGAGGTGATTAAAGCAATCCAGAGATATTGATACCGGCGGTACTTTTTCATTCCAAGATAATCAGGAACAACTTTTAGAATTCTGCTCACCTCTCTAAAAGTTGAGGGAGCATTTATTAAAACACACACACACATGCAGCCTGTATGAGGTCACTTAGGGAGGTTACAGGCCCTCCTTTCAGGGAGAGGCTAACTGCAAAGTTTGCTCATAGCAACTTACTAAACCTTTCACTAAAACACAGACATAGAGGAGACACAGAAATCCATGCCATCACCAAAGTGCTGACCCCCAAGCCTTGGAAAATCTGTAGTAAGCTGGGGGTGGGGGGCAGTAAGTGAACGGATCTCTCCCCAGGAAGAAAAGTCATTTCTCTACTGGGGTGCTCCACTGTAGGTTTTAACACCCAAGACCTCAACAGGCCATACAGGTGAACTTTTGACCACAAGAAGGATTTGTTCACCAGCCATCTATTTTTACATTTCCTGCCCTAAGTCTCACTAGCTATGGGCTGCCACAAAGTTCTCACCGCTTTTTCCGACGCTTTGCAGTCTGCTCCTCTGCAGCAATTTTATTCCTTTCCAGTCTCTTCTGAAACTCTGCATCCAATTTTTGCTGCAAAAAACCACATCACTTAGACAAACACTGACGTGGCATGAAAACTCTACAAGTCACACCACCAGGGGTGCTATAGGCACGGCCAAATCTCTGGGGCCACTTTAAGAAGCTGCCCAGTGGGGCAGGAAATCAACATACAGGACTCTAATGCTGAAGCGAATCAATTCATTAAGATACCATTCTGCTGCTAAGTCACTTTAGTTGTGTCCAACTCTGTGCGACCCCACAGACGGCAGCCCATCGGGCTCCCCCGTCCCTGGGATTCTAGGCAAGAACACTGGAGTGGGTTGCCATTTCCTTCTCCAATGCATGAAAGTGAAAGTGAAGTAGCTCATTCGTGTCCAACTCTTAGGGACCCCGTGGACCACAGCCCACCAGGCAAGAGTACTGGAGTGGGGTGCCACTGCCTTCTCCGAAGATACCATTCATGCCCAAGTAAACCGAAGAGACAGAGAGTAGGAGAGAACACACTGTGTATCTTGAAGGCAGCCGCAGCAGTGCTGACTCTCTTTCTCTAGAGCCTTGGAAAATGTGATGTTGTGGTTTAAAATAAATATCTTGTCTACTTTTTAGACACATACCTCCTAAAACTCTTATAAATTTCCTATTTAAGAGCCACAGGGGGATCTTTCAATATTTAATTTTGTTGCCAGTTTCTTCCCTAACTCCAGATACAAAGCTCCAGAAACAAAGATGAAATGGGTATCTTTTGTTCTTTATAACCAGCCCCTTTCAACTATAGGAGTGTATGAGTGACTCTAGGAAAGCCCCTAAGAACAGGGCTGGTTGCCACGGGAACTTCGTGTCCCGCCTCCCTGACCTTCAGGGAGCAGAGAGGGGCTGAAGCTTGAACTAACCACCAATGGCCAAATGATTTACCCATGTCCACAGAGTGAAGCCTCCAATCCCAAAGGGTGTGTGTGGATAGTTTCTGGTCTGGTGAACGAATGGAGGTACAGGGCTTCCGTTCCTTCTCCCTGCACCTTCTTCCATCCGGCTCTCCCTGAGCTCCAGTCTTTCAGAATACACCAGAAACTAGTAAGCGAGACGCCTTCCTGAGTTCTGTCAGCCTCTCTAAGCAAGTGAATGGAGCCCCGAGGAGGGGGGTCACAGAAGCCTCTGATTCACAGCCAGTGGGTCAGAAGCACACGGACAATGGCAGCGTATAGTAGGCCCTTGAAGCTGGGGGTGGGGGCGCGGGGGGGGGGAGACAGTCTTGTGGGGCTGAGTCCTTAACATTTGAGATCTGAAGCTATCTCCACACAGGTAGTGTGCGAATTGAGTTAAGTTGTAGGACACACTCCTGGTGCCACAGAACTGCTTGGTGTGGGGAAAATTCCCAGAGATTCGGTGACTGTGTCAGAAAAGTACTGAGTACTCAGAGTAAGGAGACACAGAAGGGTGTGCTTTTTCTTCAGAGACAGTGACCAGGGTTCAGCAGGCAGAGTGGCCAGAGGGCTGAGACCACGGAACTTTCAAGTCCTGACTAGCTAGTTACTAACGGACAGATTCTAAGGCAGCATAACATGTACTGCCATTACCTAAACATACATACATGTGGTACATATGAATGTGTCAATACATATATACATACATATATCCACCCCTTGTATTATTTCTTCCTAGCAGCTATACCTGTTTCTAAGCCTCAGTTTCCACATCTATAAAATGGGGGAATAGTAATTCTTCCCTTTCCAAGCCTTTAGGAAGAACAATGAACTGCAATAACCTACAGGAAAAACTATAAAGACATCTTCAGATAAAACAGTGTCACCTCTACCTCTGGCAGTTATAGCCATAAAGGTCGGGCGGGGGGCGTTGCAAAAAGGAAGCCAGCAGAGAAAGAAGTGGCTTCATCACCTCTGCTGGTCTGCACTGCCAGGGCAGGGTGGTTCTGCTAAGACTGACGCAGAAACTCTCTTTGAGAGCAGAATTCTGAAATAAAAAAGAAGTGCCTCCTTCAAAGAAAGGAATCAGCATCTTTTTTTTGGTCCGTGCTGTGCAGCTTGTGTGATCTTAGTTCCCCAACCAGGATTGAACCCGTGCCCTTGGCAGTGAAAGCTCAAGTCTTAACCACTGAGCTGCCAGGGAATTCCAGGACTTAACGTCAATTAGAGTTCAACTAGAAAGCAACGCCTTCAAGCTAAAAGCGCTTGGTCTGTTGAGAAGCTGAGCTGTGAATGTCTGAAGCAGCTGCACTTTCCAAGGGACCAAGACAGAGCCCCCGCTGGCTGCTGGCTCTGGTGAGGGCTCCAGCAGGAGTCAGATGTGCTCTGTCCGTGGTGGGGACACTCTTATCAGTCACTGTGGAAGGTTAAGGATTCTCTTGCATCTCTTTCCTTCTAATCTCAGAGCCTGTCCTTCACCATGTGAAAATAAAATGTTTGCAACTATGTGGATTCAAGGTTTGTGAAATACCTTTCTGTATTTTCTCTGGGTTGTCCATCAATACCCACAAATGTCAACTAACTGAGCAATGGACACAGCCGTGCTCTCTGTCCCACTTTAAACAGTGCTCGGTGTCAAGATACCAAGAGGGGGCAAGGACACACAGAGGGACTGTACAAAAAAGACCTTCAGGACCCAGATAACCATGACGGTGAGACCACTCACCTAGAGCCAGACATCCTGGACTGCAAACTCAAGTGGGCCTTAGGAAGCATCACTATAACAAAGCTAGTGGAGGTGATGGAACTCCGGTTGAGCTATTTCAAATCCTAAAAGATGATGCTGTGAAAGTGTTGCACTCAATATGCCAGCAAATTTGGAAAACTCAGCAGTGGTCACAGGACTGGAAAAGGTCAGTTTTCATTCCAATCCCAAAGAATGCTCAAACTACCGCACAATTGCACTCATCTCACATGCTAGTAATGCTCAAAATTCTCCAAGCCAGGCTTCAGCAATACATGAACCGTGAACTTCCAGATGTTCAGGCTGGATTTAGAAAAGGCAAAGGAACCAGAGATCAAATTGCCAACATCTGCTGGATCATCGAAAAAGCAAGAGTTCCAGAAAAACATCTATTTCTGCTTTATTGACTATGCCAAAGCCTTCGNTGTGGTGTTGGAGAAGACTCTTGAGAGTCCCTTGGACTGCAAGGAGATCCAACCAGTCCATCCTGAAGGAGATGAGTCCTGGGTGTTCATTGGAAGGACTGATGCTGAAGCTGAAACTCCAATACTTTGCCCACCTGATGTGAACAGCTGACTCACTGGAAAAGACCCTGATGCTGGGAAAGACTGAAGGCGGGAGGAGAAGGGGACGACAGAGGATGAGATGGTTGGATGGCATCACTGACTCAGTGGACATGAGTTTGAGAAAGCTCCAGGAGTTGATGATGGACATGGAAGCCTGGTGTGCTGCAGTCCATGGGGTCACAAAGAGTCAGACATGACTGAGCGACTGAAATGAACTGAACTGAACTAAGTGTCTATACACAGAGTTTTGCTATTCCTGACAGTGCAAAGCCATCAGTGACCTGGCACAGCTGTGACAAGTCACCTAAAGCTAATTACTGGAGATGAGAAGACGCTGGAGAACCACCAACAGCTGGGGGCCGAGTTAAGGGCTGGAGGACACACAAATACCAGGCGAAAACCACCACGGCAATTATCCCATTCTGCTCGAAAATCATAAAGGTACCTTTTCAAACTCAATTCTGGCCAGGCCAATAAATATGTAAAGGATCACTACAATCAAAATACTTAAAAAAAAAAAAATCTTTGAACAAATGTAGTGAGACATATGTGAAATCTCCATAGATGATCACGGAGAGATACAAAAAGATACAAGCAAAAGAAGACAAAGTTTCTAGAGGAGATACAGAAAGATACAAGCAAAAGAGGACAAAGTTTCTAGAGGAGATGACTAAACACTCTGACATCCACTCTCATTCAAGTTAAGTTACAGACTCAATTTAAATCTAGTAAAAAAAATCAAGCAACATGTTTGTTGTGGATAAAATAACTTCAAAACCCAATTCCAAAAACAAAACAAGTGAAATGTCCAAGAGAATATTTCTTAAGAGCAATAGGAGAGAGGTTTCTGGTCTTTCCCATCAAGCAATGGAAAATTTAAGAGTTCTTACAGTACAATTTCTAAAGCAATTCTCAATTCTTAACTTAAAAATTTTATTTATTTTTGCCATGCCCCTCTCTGGAGGCTTTCAGGATTCTCAGTTCTGAGATCAGGGATTGAACCCAGGCCACAGCAGTGAAAGTGCTGAATCCTAACCACTAGACCACCAGAACTCACAGATATTCTCAATTCTTAATCAATTATAACGTGTCATGAAGAAATGCCAGCCTCAAAGCTAGAGAACTCAAAGAGGCAAAAACACTTGAAAGCACAGTACTCCTTGTACCAGACACACAGCTAACTGGAATTACAGGCATTCAGCCAAAAAGAGAGAAAATTCTAGAGAAATAATAACTCCAGTGATGTGAGATCCTGCCTCCTATTCCATGGCAAATGGCCTGGTGGGGAGAGGGGACCCTGCTGGGTTCTCTACCACCTGGCAGACGCCCTCCCTTCATTCCCTTCCTAGTGTGAGTGCCCTGCTGTGCTGGGTCTGACCTAGAAATAACCTGGACTCTACCTGACATCTGTTTCTCATGCTGACTTCAGAAGGCAGCCCTCACTCAAGTCACAACCAGGTGTATCTACTCTTCTTCAATTGTTTATTTTCCTCAGGTTTAAGTGCACATCGCCTAAACCCCAGGCTTCAGCCAGCCTCCTGGCTCACTAACCTTCTCAGCCATGGCATCCATGTAGTCCTGTCGCTGGTACTCTCTCCGGCGTAGATGCCTGTACACGTGGAATTCTCCGCTGCCGGCCCCAGCGCTTGAACCTAGAGCCAGGACAGTCCAGAGCTCTTGATGAGATCCAGTTACCAACACAGGCTACCCTTAATCAAAGCAGACCAAAGACAAATACCAGAAGTGATGGAAGGGATCAAGCTTGCCCTATTTCCCACTGTATTCCAGAACCTAGCACACTGGCTAGCATGTTGTAGATATCATTAAAATACTTGTTGCATGAATGTTGAATGTGAAGTCCCTAAAAATTCCATTCTCAAACAGCATTAAGAGAACAAGCAAATTAAGGTTCAGAGACCAGAAACCTAAAAGAGAGTCTGTGACCATTCCCCTCCCCAAGCAGAGGATTTCACACGATATGCTAGGATTCTATTGAGTTGAAAAGATGCCATGATCTAAAAAAAGTAAGTTTCAAATAGCATGTGTAGAACAACAGTATTTTTGTAAGAACATTTTTTCTTAAGCATGAGTGGTTTTGACTATAAAGAGGTTTCCAAGGCTGTATCAAAATGTTACAAGTAGAACCATGGAACTACAGGTGGTTCTAATTTTTTTACACCTGTTCTTTACTCTTCTTTAGAATTGTTAATTTACTAATCCAACAAAAAAACTATTCCACTTTGGGGGAAAAAAGATATAATTAAAACACAAAGAAGATTCTCTAATGCCAAACCATAACCAATAATATCCCTTCATTGTAAGAGTAAAATATTAGATCAGTGAACTCCCCCTCCCCAAGGGGATATAATTAACAAAAACTAAAGGTTTTATACTTACACTTTAAAAACTGTACACACACACACACACACACACACACACACACACACACACAAAGACATTACCCATTACATCTCGGACAAATTCTGGGGGAGGTCGAGGTGCCCATTCACTCATTTTTTCTGGAATTGGAACTGCTTTGTCCTGCAACATTTAAACATGAAAGCGTTTGTTAGGTATAAACCGGCTGACGAAGTGACAGCTTTTCCAACCAAAATCCTTTAACTGAACTAGTGAAGTAAGGCTGCTTTATTTCTTGGACACAAAGCTGAGTTTATTTTCTCCCTTCTGGCTTTACTTCATTCTGTATATTCTGTGTCCTATCACAGCCCACAGCCTTGTTAGGGCTAAAGTCAACTTTTCAGGGCAGAACTCAGAACGTCAGTCATTATTTATCGCTGAAGACCTCCAACCCCCAGGTTTCTTGGCCCAATGCCTAACAGTTAATGCTTTTAGAATAAATTCTTGTGCTAACCCAAAGACTCCATCTTTCTAGTCTAAGGCTTCCGTTCACACGAAGTTAAAGGGTCTTCAAGCACGGGAAGCCAGTCCGCAGCGCCCTTCTCCACGCTTGGCTCTACCAGAAGAGCAGCAGAAATCTGTCTCCGGCTCGCCTATTCCTCCCCAAAGTCTGGGCTTTGGCTCCTGAGTTCCCGCGTTCAGAGACTGGGGAAGAGGGCCCGCGAGCGCCCAGAGACGACGGAAGGGAAGGGGTTGGGACTCGGGACGGCCGTCAGCCCGCGCCTCGTCTCACCGGGTTCTTCATGAGCCGTTCCAGCTTGAGCTTCTGCTCCTCCGCGGCATTCTTGGGGATGATGAGCGCCTGTGGCTCTTTCTTGGGCCTCGGCGGTCGCACAGAGGAGGCCGCCGAGCTCGCCATGACAGCAGCCTTCCCTGGCGGGCAGCGGCGCACGCGTGTGACGACAGAGGCGCGCGCGTGTGACGCAAGCGCAGTCTCCTAGGCGGGCGCGGCCGGAGCGGTTGCCCGCCGGAAGCAGGCTGCTGAATATTCATGAGCTCGAGGCCCGGGTGGGTTATTTTGATTAAAGCTGCTTGATTTCTTTTTCCTGTTTCTAAGCAGATCTGTGCAACGAACGCCCACGTCCTTGGGGGAGGGGTGGCCCTGTGTGCCCGAGGGTCTGGCCCCCGCCGACCTTCGCAGTCCCGGGGTGAGTTGTGGCTTCGCCCGCCACCCTGCTAACGCTCTCTCACCCCCACCCTCGTCCCCGTCCCCGGGCCTTTGTTCCTTGGGTCTGGTCCACTGCCCCCGCCGTTTCTGACGACCTGTTTAAGACACCGCAGACGTCAATGTGGGCTCCCGGAGGACTGGGGCCGTATCTCTTTTGTCCGCCTCGAATTACTCGGCTCCTGGCACCCAGCAAATACACCTCGGTCGAGTGAAGGGGCCTTTCCTACGAGAAAGGGCATCTGGGAGCTGGCCTGGCACTCACAGCTAGACCTTAGGATTCTCCTATTGGACATAGACAATTTCCTAAACACCACTGTAGTGCAAGGCCATTCTGGGGCCATGATGTCGCAAGGCATAGCTCCGTAATCACGTTTAGTGTCGTTTGAAAACAAGAATATTGTTGGAACAAGAAAAGGACCAACCGTTTTCCCCATTCTAATATGAGTAACCGCTGCTTCTTTATCCGGTTAGAGTTCCACTTTAAATATTTAAGGCTTTCAATCATAAAATTGTCCCTGATTCCTAACGTCTATTCCAGAGTAAAAGCCCACTTACTCAAATCCTCCCCCAAATCACTTAGCCCAGGCCCAAATCCCATCCTAAGTCTCTTTAACAACCTCCCCACCCTTTATTTTGGCCACTAGCCCAGCTTGCAGGCTCTTAGTTCCCTGACCAAGGATCAAACTCTAGTGTGGAGTCCTAACCACTGGACCACCAGGGAATCCCCTAAACACTCTCTTACTGAGGTAAACGCAGTCTTCCTTCTCAAACTGAGGCGATAAACCCAATTTGTTCAACTACAGGTGTGCTCCTGGTGGTTTTTTAGTTGCTAAGTCATGCCTGACTCTTTGCAACCCCGTGGATTATAGCCCTCCAGGTTCCTCTGTCCATGGGACTCTCCAGGCAAAAATACTGCAGTGGGTTGCCATTTCCTCCCTTCAGCGGATCTTCCCAACCCAGGGATCAAACTAGCACCTCTTACATCTCTTACACTGGCTGGCGGGTTCTTTACCACTAGTACCACCTAGGAAGCCCCACACCCTGTTTGGCGTGGCTTAAATGCTACCTCCTCTAGGAAGCCTTCTCTGATTGCCCCCACCCAGCCTCCTCCTCCAGGCAGTCAGTTGCTCCCTTCTTGGTGCTCCCTCTGCTCCGAGTCCCAATGGCTGGCATGTGGCAGTCACAGGGTGTCCTCACCATCTGTCTACCTAGAAGTCTGGGGAGAGGGTTGTGCCAGAAACCCAGCATCTAATTCTGGCTTAGAGTGGTGCTTTTACAATGCTTGCAGAACACAGGAATGAGGGAGAGAGAAAGGAAAGGAGTCTGAAAAAGTAAAGAATGAATGAATATGCAGTTGAGATGCAATAGTGATGAGTGACTTAGCAGCAGCAGTGATGAGTGAGGAGAAGGCAATGGCACCCCACCCCAGTACTGAAGAATTGGACACAACTGAGTGACTTCACTTTCACTTTTCACTTTCATGCATTGGAGAAGGAAATGGCAACCCACTCCAGTGTTCTTGCCTGGAGAATCCCAGGGACGGCATGAGCCTGGTGGGCTGCCATCTATGGGGTCGCACAGAGTCGGACATGACTGAAGCAACTTAGCAGCAGCAGCAGCAGTGATGAATGAAGGAGGAAGTTAGTGAGTATGATAAAGAATGAATGAACTCAATAAAGAAATGGATCCTCCAAGAATGAAAGCGCACACCACAGTAGATGAACAGACAGTTACAGAGCTAAGAGGGCAGTGGCCCAGAGCTGGTGCTTGGCAGACAACTGCTGGCTGGAAGTTAAGTGAATGAAATAAATGAATGCACAAAGTTGGGGGAGAGAGAATTAAGGCATGTAGGTAATAGCAACCTCAATGTCTAAGCCTAGCCAAAGGGTTTTGACATGTTTGTCATCCTATAAGGACTGAGAGGGCCCAGAAGGGAAAGTGACCAACTCAGGGTCACTCAGACTCAAACCCAGCTTGACTGGCCCCTATGAGGGCCTGAGTAACTTCATGAGTCATGGATAGATGGACCAAGCCTCCCCAGCAGACCCTGGTGGGGCCCTCCAGTTGGCACCCTCCTAATGCTGAAGCCGGATTTGAGGTCTGCTCCGTGGGAGGAAAAGAGTGTCTGCCCATCCTCACTCCTCACCAGCTGTCCCACAAGAGTGGACTCAGCATCTGAGTAACACCCCCTGTCTGCCACCAGAGGGCAGCAAAGTCCACCCAGCCCCACAGGCTCCTGGGACGCCTGAGGCACCTGAACCAGGCTCAGAGAGGTTGAGTAACTTGCCCAAGGTTGCAGTAAATGATGGAGCTGGGATAATCACAATGAGTCTGACCTCAAAGCCAACGTTCTTAATTATTATTATGCCATAAAGCCACTACGGAATCCAATTCATTGGTTTAAAATTCTTTATGCAATGGGTTCTGCTTCCTCCCTGCAGCCTGCCTCATCTCTCCCTTCTCTGTTGCCTACGGCCCCCACAGAGCCCAGACAAGATTCTTCGGCTCCTCCTTTGGCCTCATTCCGTGCACACAGGTCACCACCCAGGGGCAGGGCAGACCTATGCAGAGAACAGAAGTTCAGGTGTGATCAGAGGGCAGTGAGATAGGGAGGCTTGGACATCCCCTCCCCTTACTGGGGCTCTGGGTAGCTGCTGAGCTTGCATGAGCTTTTCTTGGAAGTTTTCCACCATGTGCTGATGCATATGGGCTTTCCAGGTGGTGCTAATGCTAAAGAACCCGCCTGCCAGTGCAGAAGATCTAAGAGACAAGGGTTTGATCCCTGGGTCGGGAAGATCCCCTCGAGGAGGGCATGGCAACCCACTCCAGTACTCTTGCTGGGAGAACCCCACGGACAGAGGAGCCTGGCGGGCTAGAGTCCGTGAGGTCGCAGAGCCAGACATGACTGAAATGACTGAGCCCACATGCACCCACGTGCAGCTTGGGGTCAACTAACACTCTCTATATTGCATCCGTGTTTCCTGAAGCTGCAGCGGAGTGGGAAAGGGAGAGCGACCTGATCATTCCCTCTGCTCAATTCCTTGTGGGGACACCTCTGTCTCACTGGCGGGCGAAGTTGGTCTTGGACCATGAAAGTGACTCACTCCTCTCCAGCTCCTCGACAGCCCCATAAAGAACAGTAGAGCCTGTACCCCTGTCCTCAAGAGCCTCCCACCCAGCTTGACGAGGAACAGAGGCCATCAGTCATGAAGTCTGAATCTGCTGCTCTTTCTTCACCTCCAATGGTTGAAATGTCACCCTCTACCCCCGACCCCCCGCAAGACATTTCAGCCTGTCTCGCAGCCGTACAGACCACAAGAGCTTGAAGAACAGAAACTTTGGTTTAAATCCTGGATCTAGGAACTTTCCTGGTGGTCCAGTGGCTAAGACTCCATGCTCCCAATGCAGGGGGCCTGGGTTCAATCCCTGGTCAGGGAACTAGATCCCATGTGCCACAACTAAGAGTTTGCATACTGCAGCTGAATAAAAAAAAAAAAAATTAAAAATCCTGGATCTGCCATTTACAGTTATTTGAGCCTGAGTGAGTCATCAACCTTTTTGAGTTTTAATTTCTCATCTCTAAGATGGGAATTATTACTCTCATCTTATGGGATGAGTTAAGGGCTAATGAAGATCAAATCTGTGAACAGGACACGAGCTGGAATTCAGCTAGTGGAGGCCTAATTGTCATCCTTGACAAGGCCAGCCACCTGGGTCCAGCACCCTGTTTCCTAGGACTCTCCAGAACTGGCTCCACCAGTGCTTTCTTCTTTTTCTGGGGTCCTCACTCTCTCCTTCAGCATTAAAACATGCTCCATCTCCCCAGAGTCTACATCCTTCTCCATGTGCTCTCCTTTTCTCTATCATAAAACTGCTTTCCAAAAATTTGTCACGAAGATAAAAAAAGTCTTAAGAAGAGAGAGCACCAAGTAGTTACCATGTATCCATTATTTAACTTTAACAATAATTTCTTCATATCAACACCCAATTTTTAAAATTTCTCAATTGTCTCATAATTTTTTTTAAACCATTGGATTATTATCATTAGTTCTCATGTTTTATCTTACCTACATCAGTTCTTCTTCCCCTTTTCTTCTTCATGACAATTATTTGTTGAAGAAACAATATTTTTTCCTATAGAATTTCTCAGTTTGGGACTTAGACAACTATTTTTTTAAAAGCATCTTTTCACATGTCCTTCTGTAGCCTTATCATAATTATTATTATTATTTTCTTGGGGGCAGTAAACTCAATTAGATCTAGAGACTGAATTTAAATTCAGATTCAGTTTTGTTTGTTTGTTTGCTTCATAGGAGGTGCTGAGTTCTTTCCTTCGTCTGGCCTGAGGATCCCCACGATGACTGGCTGTTCTGCTTTTGGTCAGGTTAGGATTGCTTGGGGGTTAGAAGTTGGCAGTATAATCCATCCATTATAAAGTTCCAAAAACCTGACCTAATGGGTTTTTTTTGCGGCCTGTAATGGTTGTTCCTGGAGCCACTATTTCATTGAGTGCTACAAAATAGTGAACTTCTAATTTCGGCATTCTTTATGCATTTTTAAGCTGGTATTTTTCTCCAAAGAACTTGCCTCATTGCCCATTATCCTGTATAGAAGATGCTATTGACACCACAACCCACATCTTTTTGGCCTCCCTTTGAGTTTACCATATACGCTGACAGCTGCCCACCTCAAATGCCCATGTCTTTCTGCTTCTTTGGATATAGCATCAGTTGCCAAGAATCTCACTTGGATCGCTTATGCTGTTGCCTTAGATCTTGAAGGATATGAGATAAATGACTATTATATGAGTTGTAGAGTTGGCTGGTTTTTCTTTACTGCCATAGAAAATCTGAAAAAGGGAGAACAACAGACTCAGGGCAGCCAATGAAACCTAGCACCAAAAGACTTGCCCACAGGGCAGCACCTGAAAAGACTCTCATTTCTGCGTCTGGAGGGAAGTCTGTGTTGAAAAACAGACCCAGCAGGAGAGGATGGAAACAAGGCACCAAAGTAATATTTGGAGAGATGATGGCTGAGAAATTTCTAAAATTAATGAAAGACCTGAATTCACATATTCAAGAAGCTCAGTAAATCCTAAGCTGGATAAATACCAAAACACTATACTCAGGCATTCCAGAATCAAACTTCTGAAAGTCAAAGGTGTAGAGAGAAAAATCTAAAATATCCACAGGGGAAAAAAGCAAACATTAAATTCAGGGGAATAGTAACAACAGTGGCTTACTTCTTAAGAGTAATTATAGAAACCAGAACAAATGGAATGATGTCTTTAAGGCGCTGAAAGGAGAAGCCCTTGCTGACCTCGCCATCTTTGCCTAGTGAAAATATTCTGTAAAGACGAAGGCACGAGACGCAGACGCAGAGGATGACTCGTGGAGGCAGCTGTGGGGGGTGGGGCGGGGGGTGGGGCGAGGAGAGGATGGGAGGAAGTGAGAGAGTAGCACTGAAACATACATATTAGCACGTGTAAAACAGAGCCAGTGGGAATCTGCCGTAAGACAGGGACCGCTCAGCCTGGAGCTCTGCGACAACCTGGGGGGGAGGGAGTCTCAGGAGGGAGGCGCCACATGTGTACCTACGGCTGACTCATGTCGAAAATTGACAGAAACCGATGCAACACTGTAAAGCAATCATCCTTCAATGAAAAACAAAGTAGTTTAAAAAACAAAGGCGAATTTTTTTAGACAAACAAAAGCTGAGAGACTTTGTCTCCAACAGATCTGCACTAAAAGACCACCTCCCCCCCACCCCCACAAGGCAGAAGAAACATATTCCAAAGCTAGTTTGGAACTTTAGGAAGGAGGAAGAAACCTGGAATGTACAAATGAATGGAGAAAATTTTAAATTATGGCAAACAGTATGGCAGTCCCTCCAACAATTAAACATAGAATTCCCATATTATCCTGCAATTCAACTTCTGGATATATACCTAAAAGCATCGAAAGCAGGGGTTGGGCAGATACCTGAACATCAATACTGCATTCACAGCAGCTGTTATTAACAACATACAAAAGGTGGAAACCATCCAAATATCTAGTGACAGATGAATGGATAAACAAAGGTGGTATACATATAGTGGGATATTATTCAGCCTTAAAAAGTGAAGTTCTGACACGCGAGGCGACATAGGTAAACCTTAAAGACACTATGCTAAGTGAAATAAGGCAGACACAAAAGACGAACATTGCGTGTTTCTCTGAGCCAAAGTACTTAAAAGCCTCCAACTAATAAAAATAAATGGAAAAAAAAAAAAAAGCCAAATTCATACAGACGATGGTACTGGGCGGGTGGGCCAGGGGAGGGAATGAGGAGTTAGTGTTTAAAAAATTTTTTTGAAATTGATGGTAGTATTGGTTGCACAACAAATATGTATTTAATGCCACGAAACTGTATACTTAAAAATGGTTAAAGTAGTATATCCAATGTCTTGTATATTTTTCCATATAAAAAAGTTTTAAAGACTACTAATTGTTTAGGGCAACAATAATTACAGTGTATACTGAGGTTTCTAATTCACGTAGAAGTAAGCTACCCAACAGCACAGAAGGTTGAGGGAAGAGGTATAAATGGAATTGTACTATTGTCAATTTCTTACATCTCTCCTGAAGTTGCAAAATGCAAATTTAAGGTGGATTGTAATAAAGTAAAAGGCATACTATAACCTTGAGATTAACCATTTGAAAAAAAATGCATTAAAAGGTATAATTAAAATGTCATAATTCTTATTTATCCAAAAGATTAAATAAAGGAAAGGAAGAACAAAAAAATCAGCTGGAACAAATGGAAAGCAAGTAGCAAGAGGATAGATACAATCTGTAAAAGACAGAGATTGCCTGACTGGAGTTAAAAAAAAAATCAACAACAAACCAATTGTATGCTTCTCAAAAAGTGACACACTTCAGGTATAAGGACATAGAAAAACTGAGAACATTAAGACAGAAAAAAGTATACCCTACAAATACCAACCATAACAGAGCTACGTTAATAACAATGTAGATTGTAAGTCAGAGATAAAGAGGGTCATTTCTTAATGATAAATTCAACAGAGTGACATAACAAACCTAAATGGATATGAGTCTAATAGAGCTTCAAAGTACAGGCAGAAAAAAAACCTGGCAGAACTAAAAGGAGAAACAGGCAAAGCCACAGTCATATTTGGACGTTTTAACACGGCTGCCTTGGCAGTTAGTAACAATAAAGAAATAAACATAGACAAAAACATTAACGAGTATATAGAAGACATGAGCAATACTCTCAATTAATTTGACCTAATTGACAATTATAGAACATTCCAACCAAGAACAGCAGAATGCACATTCTTGTCAAGTGTACCTGGTAGAGTAAGACAGACCTTGTACTTGGGTCATAAAACAAGTCTCCATACATTTCAAAAGAGGGCTGAGATCATACCAGACATATTTTCTGATCACAGTGGAATTAGAGTTTAAGGTTGTTTCAACTTATGTCTATCGTGAAATAATTACTGCAAAATTTAATGAGCACCCATCATCTCTCATGGAGACTAAATAGAGTTCCCTCGTCACTCTAAATCACAGGACACAGCCCCAGTTCAGACCGAGTTACCACGCAACCTCAAACTCATGAAGGGGTATCAAGCGAGGCCGACAGATTTGGCCAGTGAAGAAACACACATCTTTTTATTTTTTGATTTATTCTGGCGTGCTATGTGTGAGGTTTGCAGCATCTCGGCTCCCTGAACAAGGATCGAACCCATGCCCATGCTCCATGCAGTGGAAGCACGGAGCCCTAACCATTGGACAACTAGGGAATTTCCGAAACAAACCTTTTCTGATTCAGACAGTTTATCATGTACGTCGAGAACAAAAGCAAGATCAGTCAAGGTGGCAGCTTCCCATGACCCTTCTGCAAAAGGATGACCCCAAACAGGAAATGACAATGCAACATGAGGGGCGCGGCACCCTGATAATGAGGAGTCCGTTCTGTGTAGTTTGATGACCTGCAGCTGTTCTCTAAGACGCGCGAGGCAGAAAGCCTCCTGTGTCATCAGAGCCCAGGAGGAAATGAGAAAAAGGCCTTCCTTGAGGAGGGAGAGGAAGCCGCTCCATAAGCTCCCTAAGTTCTCATGTTCTGGGAGGACCACAGGGTGTCCCGCCAAGGTTGAGGTCAGCTGTGGTTAGGTCTTGCCTACATGACCCAGGTAGAGATGCACGTGGTCGCCAGGACCACGTGGAGGAACCATTTCCCTTTCAGGGTTAAGACTTCTCTTCCTTCCCCAGCTAAGGCTGGAGGCAGGAGAGAGCCTTCAGTCCAGGGAGGCGATTGTGGGTGGATTCTGTCCCCCTCCTCGCTTTCCAGTTACTGTCTTGATCCTGGTGAGGGCCGAGAGACAAGAGGGAGGGTGACGAGACGGCTCCTACCTCGCTGGACGCCTCGTGTTTGCTCAGCCTGGCCAGTCTAGAGAGGGCTCCTCCTGCGGGCACTTGCTTGCATGCTTCAGAGGACCAAATATCAAGTCTTTCTGAGGCATCTCCTGCCATGTGACCTAAAGAAACTCCAGACGTGCTGACTCCTCTGTCTGGAGGCTGCAGGCTGCGTAAGACGTTTTCAGACCTGAGGTGGAGAACCAGTCACCCTTTCTCAGCTGCAAGGGACCAAGTGGAAAGCGCCATGCCCCACGTGCCGCCTTGGAAGGAACTCAGCACACCTGTAGCTCCTTTTCTCCTCCTCCCGTCTCTCAACTCTTCCACGTGCTCGAAATAGGGGAGTGGATTCAGGAGACACAGAATCAGCCACCGAGCATTTATTAATCTTTCCAAAGAAACAGCTTTTGGTTTCATTGATTTTTCTGTACTGCTTTCCTCTTTGATCTTTATTATTTCCATTTTTTTCTCTGTTTACTTTAGGTTTAATTTGCTCTGCTTTTCCTGGCTTCTTAAAACTGAAGCTGAAAAAAAAAAATGAAGCTGAGATCATTGATTTCAGGCCTTTCTTCTTTTCCAAAGATAGACATTTAGTGCTATAAATTTCTCCTGAGTTACTGTTAGAGCAGCATCCCACACCTTCTGATGTTGTGCTTTTATTTTCATTCACATGAAAACCCTCTCTAGGGCTTCCCTGCTAGTCCAGTGGTTAAGAATTAGCCTTGCAGTGCAGGGGACACCCATTAGATCCCTGGTCTGGGAAGATCCCACATACTTCGGGGCAACTAAGCCTGAGCCGCACAACTACTGAGTCTGCGCTCTAGAGCCTGGGAACCAGAGCAACTGAAGCCCGGGCATCCTAGAGCCCACGCTCCGCGAGGGGAGCCACCGCAGTGAGAAGCCTGCGCGCCGCAATCAGGAATATCCCCTGCTCGATGCAACTAGAGAAAGGCCCGGCACAGCC